ATACCTGTACCACAAGTCATCCCTGTTCTACAGTATTTTCACGGTCAAATATCATTACAAATAAATATGTACATGTATTAAATTGTAAGTATTAAGTGTTAATAGAATTAATAGGGGGTATCAAATATAGGAAACCCACCATTCAAAATTTTGAATGGTGGATTTCCTATATTTGATAAACCAGTCACTTTTCCCAAAACTTCTTTTTGCTTCAATGGGTCCCAAAAGGGGTTATATGAATAACCAGCATGTTTAAAAAAGGGTGAATTTTTTTAAACCAGTGAATTAAATAATGGTGGATTTGGTTATATTTGATACCCCCTAATACATTCAATACATGCACTGATCACAAATTATGACTACATTATTAGAGGATCTGTTAAGGACACACATCAAGAACAACTAGTACACAATTATGATGTCACTTACAGATCATGACAAATAATGATCAGTCACTCAATTGATGTGCTCATTCTCCTGGCCAAAGCTCCCTTGATTCTGAGCGCTCATTCTTTCCCTCCTTCAATATTCTGGAACTTATAATCCGTGCCTCTTTCACTGATTAATCCCCAGAATATTCAGACACCAGTTAAACCAGTTAACATTTATATTGATACAGTACACGTAACCAACATAAATCTAGTCTACCTTTATTGCTCTTAAGCTTCAGTACAACTTACTCAACTTATCCACAATATTCATAGCCTTGCTGAATATTCCCATCAACAATACCTGTTAATCTTCAACTAATTTTGTTAAAGCTTAATAAGTATTGTTAGCCCATTCCCTTTTGGGAATAACCAAATCAATCCCAGGTGAGTCTTAGTACCCTGGATGCCTATTAATTACTTGTATTGATCCGGATGCGCTGTTGATAGCAGTGGTGGGCCGCTACGCTACACTACGCTACGGGCCCATGTAGCGTTAGTGTAGCGGCGCCATTTTTTCTTTTTTTTCATGTAGTGTTAGCGCGCCGCTACGGCCGCTGTGCTACGCTAATTCGTAGCGGCGCTAACACTCGCCAATTTTTGGTGTAGTGTTAGCGCGCCTCTGGTGCCGCTACGCTGCGTTACGCTACGCTACAGCGTTTTTAGCGGCAAAAAACGCCTAAAAACTGCTGTAGCGCAGCGTAGCGGGCGGTTTTTTGCGCCCTGCGTGCGTAGCGTTAGCGCAGATGGGGGGAATCGCGCTAACGCTACGCTAAACGCTAGCGCAAGTTTTTTCCCCATGCGCGTAGCGTTAGCGCAGAAAATGAGAAAAGCACTAACGCTACGCTAAATTGTAGCGGTTTTTTGCTACACTACGCTACGCTAACGCTACGGTTAGCGTAGCTGGCCCACTGTTGTTGATAGCAAGCCTCTCAGTAAAGACCATACTGATAGAGTGAAACCTCCTCCTTACAGGACTGGTATTGATCACCCACTACCTAACACTCACCACGCTCAAACACTTCAGTCAACTCATAGTAACAACCTATTACTACTAAACACTCAGGTTAGTTACCCAGAGGCTGACACATGATGTGCCCTAGCCTGAGGACCAGGTAATTACAGACTTATAAAAATACCAATGACAATAGGGCAGTTCACGTTCTGCTGATGAACCTTCTTAGAATGCCTATTTTATGGTTTATGGGAAAGCAACAGAGTTTAGTGGGAGGCTCCCCTTTGGAGTTGAAATCCCACAATTGAAGTTTATGAAGTTTTTCCATCAGCAAACAAACCTTGTGTCACATCAGCAACAGTTTTGATGCAACATGAACTGCCATACAGCTGTTCCCAAAAACCTTGCGGTTTTGGGAGGGCTGTATTTCAGAAGATTTCTTTTTACACCTCTTTGTTTTGTGCCGCTTTGTCCTGTATGTGGCCCTGTATGGCCACAGTAATTGGGGCCATACAAATTAACTCCCAAATTTTTGCAGTTGAGCGTGTGGGAGTTGGCCCATCAGAATTGTATCAGGTTTTTGGGTAGAGAGCGGTCATCACATGGAGGCTTTGCCGGCCCTGCCCCCCTAGCCGCCAGGTATCCTGAGCCTGAGTGAGGCCTTGGCAGCCAAATTGGAAGCTGTACAGTCATGTGTACAGGCCGTGAGGTGCAAAAAAAAAACTTCTGAAATACAGCCCTCCCAAAACCGCAAGGCTTTTGGGAACAGCTGTAATTTTTTGTCTTAATTAATGGATGACTTCCTGTCGCAATCTATGACCCTCCAAGAAGTCAATTTACACCCCTTAGATTTATTTTTTTTCATCAAAAAAAAAAACATTTTTTCTGAAGCCTTCCAGAAACAGCTCTCATGTGAGCTGGTTGAAATCTTAACTGTGTTGTTAATTTAGGACTGAGGGAGGTCTAAAAAGCATTCTAAATTTTGATGGGAAGTCCTCCAATGGATGACTTCCCGTCAACATCTGCAGGTCTCCCAGTTTTGATTTAGAGCTTCAAAAGCTAGATTTCCCGCAAAAATCTAGTCTTTTTGGGTCTAAATCGCAAACTGTAAGGGTCCCAGATCCAACGGGAAGTCCTCCAATATTGGTGAATCAACCCGGGGCCCGGGAGTCATAGACCCACTCATGTTTGTTAGATCAGTCTCTATAGCTCCAGTCCCAGGATGCTGATCAGGTGTGGAAAATCCAATTCAAGGGAAAAAAAATCTTGGTATGTGTTGAAGCTTATAATGGCCCGATTGATCAGTTTACAGTTCTCATTGCATCATCTCAAGTTCTCCTCTCTTTCTGCGACACAATTTTTGGTTTTTGCATTGTTTTGTTTTTTGGTCCAGATTTCATTTTGTACAATGGAGGGCTTCCTGTGGGTTTTACAGGCCTTGTAAGGCTAGATTTACATGATGCTGTAGAGCTAATTTTTTGCTGGGAAAACGGGTTCACAAGCCTGTAAAAGTAGCTTTACAGGGGGCTGTAAATTTTATGGGAAGTCCTCCAATATCTTTGGAATTAAATGGATTTCTATGTTTGTAGCCAAAAAAACTGTGATTTTTATTGTCGGTAAGTTTATGGATATGCTGGGGTACATAGTCAGGCTGTCAATGGGCTCGGGCGCCCATGGGCTACCCAAAGAAAGGGTGGAAAATTACCCAAGTGTGAGCCAACCCGTGGAGACCCACCAAATTCATGGGCCGGGTTTGGGCAGGCTTTCCTGGATGTGGGCTGGCCCACCGGCCCATGAAAAGCCCAAGTTGTTCTGAATATCATCAGAATTAACCTGATAATATGTACTCATAGTACATATTATTAGGTTTGAGGGCCCAGAATTCCATAACCATGGCCCCATCAGTACCTGGATATACAGCTTAACTATCTCTGTTTGCTGCATATCTCATTGTTCCAAAAAGTGGACTAAGGAAACCCCCATGCCTGCCTCAAATGAGGATATCTACACCCCAGGGGCACTTCTTGCCGAGCGGGAATGTGGATCCCACGGGAGACGCCGACCACGTGAAATCCACGAGATCGGCTCTGCAAAAGTTTGGTAAGCTCCAGTAAGCTCGATTTCTGTTGTCGGTTCCATGAGGTTCCACGACCTAAGTTTTTCCAACAAGGGTTCTACGTGGGCTCGTTGCCCACGTCTATTCCACGACGGCCAACCTCTATTCCACCTACAACCAGGACCCACCAATATGGGTCCTGACCGTCCAAAAACTCAAGAAAAATGAGTTTTGGAAAAAAAAATCTAAAAACAAACTTTGACATTTTTTTTGTTTGAAAGTAAAGGAAACGATCATTTTGGGTTGATCTGATCTCGGAAGGAGGGGTAAGCAATCAAGTTCATGCGGACCAACGGTTAAGCATCCTGATACTGGATGCGCAACCTTGGTCCGCTGTTGGGGTTCGATTCCCCGTCCTCTCTTTTCAGCGGTGGGCCGCTACGCTACGCTACGCTTTTGGCCCAAAAAGCGTAGCGTAGTGGCGCTTTTTTTTCACCAAAAACCGTAGTGTTAGCGGTTTTTTAGCGGTTTTTCGCTACGCTACGCTGCGCTACAGCGCTTTTAGCGGAAAAAACGGCCAAAAACCGCTAAAAACGGCTGTAGCGCAGCGTAGTGGGCCCTTTTTTGCGGCCCACACGCGTAGCGTTAGCGGTGTCGTGGCGGAATTCCGCTACGCTACGCTAATCGCTAACAGCGATTCCGCTGCGTTACGCTACACTAACCGCTACGGTTAGTGTAGCGGCCCACCGTTGCTCTTTTGGTGGTGTTGCCAATTCTGTATCTGTGGCCATGGGAGCTCCCTCGTGGGCTCCTTGGTGTAGTGACTCAGAGGGGTGTACGTGTATGGATTCCGGTAGGTGTGGCCCGGAAGAGACGGATTTAGTCTCCTCCGTGTAAACCCCCTCCCTCTGTGGTCAGGGTTTCACAAGAATTACAACTAGATGTCACATTTCTCTCTAGTTTTCCGTCTCAGTCTCCCTTCCTGACTCAGCAGAGAACTGACCCCCAATTCTCTCTGAGTCAGGTGAGTTTCCTTTATTCTCAATTTCCCTTCTCTTGTATTTCTTTGATTCAGATTTTAGTGAGAGAACTGACCCCCAATTCTCCCTGAGTCAGAAATAAAATTCTATCAGTTTGGTCTTAGAAAATTGCCGAGGCTTATAGCCTGTTCCCGTGCCTTTTTCCACCCATTCAGTGAAGGACATTGCAGTCCTTACACTCCGGCTGGCTGAGCCGCAGCCGAGTCACACCATGTTACCTAGGTCACAACACCCACCCCCTTGGCAAGGCTCCAAGACACCTGCCGGGGAGGTTCTAACTACAAAAAAGCTGAGAAAAAAATAGAAAGAAAATGAAGAAAGGTAGAAGAAATAAAAAAAACAAAATAAGATAAGATAAAACTTGAAGAAAAATTGGTGTGGAAAGGTTGAGGAGGCTGAAAGATAAAATAAATAAATAATAAACATGAAAATAAAATAAAATGGTAGAAATGATGAGTAGTTTGAAGATAAAAAAAATCAAATTTTAAGAAGTGAGAAAGAGGGTTGGAATGTGAAACAGGCTAATAATAAGCATCATCAAAACCACCATCATCAAACCCGCCATCTTCAAATCCGCCATTGTCAAATCCGCCATCGTCAAAACCACCATTGTCAAAACTGCCATCGTCAAATCTCCCATTGTCGAAACCACAATTGTTGTATTCACCATCATCAAAACCACTGTTGTCAAAAACACCATTAAAGCTGCTGTCATCTAAAACTGATTTGTTCTCTGGATTCTCATCAAGATCAGAGGCACAGTAGTTGGAGTGTTCATAGTAATTCAAAGGGTTGAATTGATCAGGGTGATGTTCAACATGAGGTGAAGGAATACAATGGTTGCTGATTTCATTGGTGGTTGGGTAGATGTTTTGGCTTTGGAGTGCTTGATTTGATTGGGGAGGTAAAGAATTGAGTGGGGAATGCGGCCGAGTCAATTGATCAATGTGTAGAGTTGCATATTGTTGGAAGGATTTGGTTCTAGTGTCGGGTCCCATGATTCGAAGGTTCTCAAATTCATCTGCTGACAGGGTGCTGGCCCAGTTGTCAACATCTTTAGCGCTGTAGTTTTTCAAGTCAAAATCTGGTTCAGATTGTTGGGTTGAATTGGTTTCAGGGAAAAAATGGCCAATACGATTCTCTGGAATAGCCTCGGAGGTCAAATCTTGTCCTTGGTGAAACTGATAGGGAGCTGCATTGATGTCCAAATCGGACCGGTCATCCCCTTGGATTTCATCTAGTTCACATGTATCACCAATCAATATGGCTGAATGGCAGTCAAAATCCTTATCTGTGGTCATTTCATTGCTGGCTAGTTCCGATAACAAGGGTTCTTCATTCACATTGCTGGGGTCATCCAAAGTTGAGTTTAGTTCTTGATCTAAATGCTCTGCACTGTTTCCTTCACGCTGCAAGTCTTCTGTCAATCCAGGTTCTTGTTTGTAGGAGCATGGAAAGCTACAATGTTGATGCCGTGATGGATGTTGAGTATACCTCACAGAGAACTTTGGTGGCTTATAACAATCACAGCTGTTGTAGACAATGGGTTGAACTTGTTGTCGACTCGGAGGAAAACGGACCGTATATGGATGAGGAGCTCTCTCCCATCAATCAAAATTTTTCTGCTGGTGACTCATTTTCCAAGCTTGCGAGCGCTTTGTCAGACGATTTGACCAGGGCCGTTGATGAGGACCACCGAGCGCAAAGGTTTGAGGACATTCAATCTGATCAAAATTTGGGGCTGGTCATATCGGTAGTTGCATATGATGTAGATCCTAGAACAACATTCCAATTGGCCAAGAACTGCCGAATCCGATTATAAGCACCGTGGGAAGGATCCATTTAAGCAGAGTTTGTGAGAAATAAAAAAAAAAAATGATTTCAAGTAAGGGCTTTAATAAAAAAACCCGCATTTTCCGCGTTTTGACGCGCATTTGCTGTGTGCAGCACACGCGCATTCCGTGTTTAAACGCGCGTTTATTAATTTATTTATTTCTACCATTATTTATGAGCTTTTTTGATTTTTTAAAGCTGTTTCCTACACTTTAAAAGGTGTAGAATTTAATGGTAAAAACCATTTTCCATAAAAATGAATTTTGATTATTAATTATTTTTTTTCACTCATTTTTCAATTAATTGTTTGCATGCATGTATGTACTTTATTTTTTAAGTTTTTTTGAGGTTTTAAAATTATTCCTAGGTTTCAAAACATGCAAAATTTAATGGCGCAATCCAAATTTTTTAAAACTCAACGGTTCACTTTGAATACTGAAATTAGACACTTTTTTCACTTAAATTTTTACCGCTTAATTTTCATTCTTTTTTCACTTTTTAAATTTATTTCCCACACTTCAAGACATGGTTAAAATGAGGGTAAAAATCTTTTTGCATAAAAACCAAAGATTTGTAATGAATACTGCGTGGGACAGGTTTTTTTTGATGTTTTTTTAATTAATTTTCACTGGCTCAATTTTAATCATTTTTTGAAATTTTAAATATATTTCCTACATCTTAAAGTGTGTAGAATTTAATGGTAGAATTCATTTTGCCTCAAAAGAAAAGCTTCAATCTTAATATAAGAGTGTACACCGTTTCTTGCATAATTTGTACTGTATAAAAATTGTATTTGAATGCAAAATGGATACAGCCAACAATTTTAAAACCTTTCAAAGTGTAGGAAATGAACTGAAAATTCCATAAAATAAGGATAATTAAGTGTGTAAGAATTAATTAAAGAAACATGTCAAAGGCTTTATTCAAGGTACATTTTTCATTTTGATGCAAATTGATTTATACCATAATTCTATACATGTCTGAAAGTGTAGGAAACTGAATTAAAATGTCGAAAAATCATGAAAATTAAGCTCTTAAAAATCAATTGAATTTTAAGGCTGATTACAGTATTCAGAATGACCCGTTGAGTTTTATGGAAATTGAATGTTACCAGTAAACTCTAAACACTTTGAAATGTAGATGACAACTTTCAAATTTCAAAAAATCAGAAAAAATAAGGCAAAAAAATCAATGCAAACAATTGAGTGAAAAAGTGAAGAATTAAATAAAAAAAGCAGTGTCAAATGCAGTATACAAGATGTAGTTCTCATTTTGATTCAATATTATTTTTACCATAAATTTATACATGTCTGAAAGTGTAGGAAAAAAGTTTAAAATGTGAAAAAAGAATGAAAATTGAGCTCTAAAAATGGAAGTGAAAAAATGGGTGTAATTGCATTATTAAAAATGATCCATTCATTTTTATGAAAATTGGATTTCACCATAAATTTCTACACACTTAATAATGTAGGAAACAACTTTAAAGTTACACAAAATCTTGAAAATGAGGTAAAAAACTTAAAGCAAACAATTAACGGAAAAAATGAGTGGAAAAAAAAATTGAGAATCAAAAGTCATTTTTATGGTAAATGGACTTTACCATTAAATTCTACACCCTTCAAAGTGTAGGAAAAAATTTTAAATAATAAATTAAAAAACTCATAAATAATGGTAGAAATAAATTAATTAATAAACGCGCGTTTAAACACGGAATGCGCGTGTGCTGCGCGCAGCAAAAGCGCGTCAAAACGCGGAAAATGTGGGTTTTTTTATCAAGGCCCTTCAAGTAATTGAGCCGGTATTCCTCCGTCGGCAAGCTAAAAGATGGGTCCGGTATGGTTCTTTGGTTTGAGATTTCTTCAGCGTAGCCGGTATCACAGGCTCATAACCTGTAGTGACTCAGAGGGGTGTACCTGTATGGATTCCGGTAGGTGTGGCTCGGAGGAGACAGATGTAGTCTCCTCTGGCTGGCTGAGCCGCAGCCAAGTCACACCATGTGACCTACACCCCAGGGGCAGTTCGTACCGCGCGGGGTTGTGGAACCGACGAAACTCGGCCCCTCCGTGGAGCCGACAAGATTGGCTCTGTAAAGCTTTGGTAAGAGCCGATCTCGACGGCGGTTCCACGAACCAACTTTTTTTTCGATGTTGGTTCCACAATCCCACATCCGAGCCGATGTGGAGCCGGTGGGCTTGTTGCTCACGTCGATTCCAGGACGGTGGACATTTGCTTCAGCTTCATCCAGGATCCTCTGATGTGGGTCCTGATGTTCCAAAAGCTCGAGAAAATTTGTTTTTTAAAAAAAAAAACTTTGACAAATTTTTTTTGTCATGGGTTAAGAAACAGGTGGGAGTGAGCCGGCGTGATGCTGAAAAGAAGCTGACCTCCAACTTGTCCTTGGCCGAGCGGCGAAGCGCCGGTGCTTGGTCCTTGACTCTGGTCGTGTGTTTGATCCGCGCCAGGTAATTTTTTGGCAGGCCGGCCGGCAGCACCGGAACTTACTGATCGGTGACTCCAGGCTCCACGTGGATCTCACCTTGTGTCCATCGGGTGCCCACATGGATGCAGGGGTGGAGTCCATGCAAAACTGTGGACCGTCAGCTGCTGGTCCGACCCGCCGCAGTGGCCACCCGTGGGATCCACCGAAAAAAATGGTGTCTGCCCACGTCGAACTGCGCCCGAGGTGTAGGTCACAACACTCGGCACATCCTTGGGATGCAGCCATGGACCGATCTGTGGAGCCCATGGAATCCTGTGGACTGGCGGGTCCTGGTCCGACCTCCCGCAGTGGCCGCTCGTGGGCTCCCCGTGGAAAACTGGTGTCGGTCCACGTGGGTGTGCACCCTAGGTGTACATATATCTGACTCCCCTCTGCACACCCCAACCCCGTTGGCCAAGAAGAATACTCAGGCCAAAAAAAAAAAAACTTTTTGATGGGCAGACCCGAGACCCGCCCCGAGCCCAACTGTCTCAAAGCCGGGGTGGCTTTGGGCATACTTTTTTGGAATTGTGGCCTGGCCCGCCCCGCCCCACGTTCCAAGGCGGGGCGGGTTTAATGGGCATGGTTTTTGGCCCCAAGCCCGGCCCATCAACAGCCTGAGTACATAGTCATGACATCATCGTCCTCCTCCTCCTCCTCCTTCCAATCCTCGTCGTCGTCATGATCTGTGATCAGTCTCCAATATGTATGTTGTCGGTCGGCTTGAATTTAGTTCGGCAGAAGCTCTGATTATCAGAAAAAAAAAAAAAAAAAAAACACAGAGCTCTACCCCAGCAGAATCACATGAGGCCAGCTTCAGACCAAAAACAAGAACCAACAAGAACCAACAAGAAAGCTGAGCAAAAGCAAACCGTGCTGCTGATTGACGACATCCGAAACCCGTCCATACTAGACCACCACCGATCGATCCTTGTAGGCTCGTTCGAATCCTTCTAGTTCTTGAAGAAGGCCTTTCTTTAAAACCAAGAGCTTGATATAAAAAAGCCTTGCAGCAGAGGTACATAAACAAACTCAATTCTCTTTTTATTTTTGAGCGGAGCTGGTCAGTTTACCACCTCAACTTATATCTATCCCCGAGCTTAACTAAGCCCTCTGACCTTGGTCTTGTTTTGGTGGGTCCGAAGGACCCCGAGACCGAAGGTCGAGGGCTTATGACCAAAGCGTCTGTGCTCGGAGGTGAGGTCATTTCAGTTTTGGTGGGACGAGAAGATTATTTTTCTGTGATGCACCTAGGCGTCACAGATAGCTATGCCACCGCTTGAAAACCTGTGGCTCCCCATGATGTGCATCTTGTCTTTAATCCTAGCTTTTCACCATCTTTGTACCCCTCACCGATGTATTTGTATCTTTTTTCTAAAAAAAATCTATTCTCTGAGAATGCCAAAATTTTATCGTATTATCTCTAGGGACGAGTAGGAAAGCCATAGCATGTTAAAGTTGAAAAAAAAGTGTAGTTTTTTTACGATCGTTCTTTTTTTCATTAATAGCAGCTCAACAGTCCGCATACATTCAATTAAGGAGGCATACAGCCAGATTATAAGCTTGCTGCAGTGCAAGAACACTTGGAATGCGATCATACTCAATGACCATTTCCAACTACAACGATGTCTCAGCCTGCCTCTCAAAGCAATGGACCAAGAAGATACCGAACCGAAGCATCCAAGATTACAGCGATCCTTGATCTCATGTCCGAAATGGACCACGATCCCAAATCGTTCATGATCTCCTTTCTCCGCATTAAGAACAATCAGGCGGCTGTCCAGAGAAGATATTGGCGTACCCCGAGAGGTTGGGAGGGCACCTCGGCTATGATAGATGCGATTCGTGATTTCATCTGCACAGATCAAACAGGAAAAGCCTTTTGGGAAGAACAAATGCTTTCCGAGGTATGACTGTGATTTCAAATCGATTCATGATACTAGTTTTCATAAGCTTATCAATATTTTATTTCTTTTGGCTTTTCTTTGCAGGCCACCAGGATTGTAGTGCGTCAAAGACCTCCTAGCGGTATTTTTCCTGAAGGCGGTTACTACAGTACAAAGAAAATCACTCCGGAGTTTTTTGACGATGACAAACAAGATATGCGAGAGGAGGAACTCACTCGAACCCATACACCTTTCTTATTCAACCTACTCTATAACAAGATGACTCAGGGAAGGAAAAAGCAATCCGTTGAAGAAGAAGACAAAGACCCGAATGGTTTTGAACAGCTTGAAAATGAAGACCAAGAGTTGGATACAAATACAAACAGTGATTTTTTCCGGGAAACTCTTGTGGCACCAATCCACTTAGATCATCACACAAGAGCAAAAAAGGTAAGCACTTCAGTGTTAATATTTCTATAAGCTTCTACTAAGCCTATAAGCTTCTGCTAAGCATTGTAAATTTTGTAATGCATGAACTCAGACAGCCACAGTTGCATGCTCAATGGTGTCCTTTATTCTTAATCGACGAATCAATGGAATGCAATTAGCAAATTCTCTGACCTTTCTAGCCTCTGGGGTTTCAGATCGAGTCAATCACTATTTAAATTATATTGGGCTGGCGTCATCACGAAGAACAGCTCATCGTTCTCTGGAAGTCCTTGGTTTGCATGCAGAAAAAGTTATCAAAAAGAAGATGTCGCAATCAGAAGCTCAAATCATGCCCCCGTTTCTTTGCATTGACAACCTGGATTTCGAGCAACGAGTCCACGCAAAGTCCCTCGGACACACAAGTAAGATGTTTCATGGGACATGGGGTTACATACATCATTTAAACCCCATGCTAGTTTCATCAGTTCCAGCTGGCGACCTATCTCTCGAAAGTTACACTGCTTCGATGAAAAACGCAGCCGATATCGATGTTACTCCTACCATGTTTCTTGCATCAAAAGACGAGGAGCAACATTGGACGAGCGTCTTGAAATGTCAGATTGCAAAAGTGATCCTTGAATACATTGCCATCCCCTCCGACAAAGATTTTCCAATCCCCTCAAGCCCACCAGTTGTTGAACAAATATCGCACAACCGCCCAGACATAACCATGCTCAAGCTCATGGTCGCATCAGACAACTCAGCGCAAGGAGTTGAGGATGTATGCACCGGCATCATCCAACAGACAAATCTCAGCAAAACACAGTTCTACAACCGTCTTCTCATGCTTGATGGCGATTTAGGCACATGTGTCAATGTAAAGTGTCTTCAGAACCAGCGGTTTCCTAGCTCACATGTAGAAAACAGCCTTGACAACATCTGTACTCTTCTCGGTGGAGCACACACCCTATGGAACATTGGCCATGCAATCTACACCAAACACTTCGGGAATTCTTCAGACTCGCGCGATTCAGGAGCCTGGAGGTACCTGGAATCACTTGGAATTCCATCACGTAAAACCCTTGACAAGAAGGACTTTACTCTGATGATAGATAACATGATCAAAATCCATGAAGCTACACTTGTGCACTGTATCATGTAAGACCACATTACCCCTGATTTCATTTTTATGATTCAACACAGTACTAAAAAATTATTCTACTTTCAGGCTTGTGATGGGAAAAGAAAACATCTCATTGGATCCTGAACCTCAATCACTCCCATCAAAGGATATTGTTTCAATCATCAATTCCACCTACACTCGATTTTTCTCAGCAAAATCAAGGGTTGATGCAAGCAAAAGGCCATCACCAAAGCTCTCAAATCTCCAGTTGCGACTATTTGACTTTGCTTCGGTTTGCGAAGCTAACGCAGCCATGAAGGCTGGAGATATTGGCCGAGTAATGTTCATGTGGAAGCGCTGGGCTGTAATGGCACAGGGTATCAAAAAACTCTCAAACTACGCTGTACACCTTCCTAGAATGATAGTTTTAATGAACGAGATATTACCTCCTGGTCTGTCAAAAGTCGTTCGTCACTCTCTTTTGGTGGCCCCAAGTGCTCGACAGAAGCACTTTGTTGCAAAAGACCTGTACCTTGAAATGCAGAATTACTCTTTGAAGTATTTCTTCAACTATTCTGGACGAGGAACCGAAATCAAAAGACTGAAAGATGTTTACTCAGTCAACATACCTTTGGTACATGATCAATCCCCTCACAATTGCATATAATAAAAACTTGTACACTAACTATTTTTCTGCTGAAATTTATGCAGTTGCAGGGTTTGATACAGGGACTGAACAAGCAATCTGGTTCAGAGAATGTGATCCAGTCGCATCGCAAAAAAATCAAGCTTCGGTCTCTAAACAACTGCTTGCGAATGGTCAGACAGAATGATGCCTGCGACATTTACAGTAACACCAAGAGAGGACAGTACATTCCAGAACAGATCCCAAGCTTCTACAACAAAGGAATGGCCAAGCTATCAAACGACTTTGATACAGGTCATCTAAATCGACTACGACCTGCTCCTCTATCTACTTGGGATGTTGACGAAGATACACTGTTAAATAAGGATGAAGGCTCAAGTTCAGAAACAGACGACAGCAATGATTCAGAGAGAGAAACCACAGAAAATGAAGAAACTGACAAATCTGAAGAATCACAAGTCCAATCCAGTTAATTTCCACCACTCGGTCCATCACTCCTTTGCAATGCCCCCACTTGATTCTTCTGTATCTGATCCAGTACAGCCGAGTCACCCTGCCATTTGGCTTTCGATTCATTTTTACGTTTTCGGTTTGCTGCACCCTTTTCTTTTCGGCTTTGCATTCTTATTTGTTTTTCTGAATTTTCTTTCTGATCCTTTTCACTTTTCTTTTGTTTTTTGATCTGCCTTTCTAACTTTACTTCCTCTGCTTTCCTTTTCTTCTCCTTATCTTTCTCATCCTTTTCAAACTGTTTCCTTCCCTTCTCCAAACGGGTCGCCTCTGCCTTCTCAAGTGCTTTCTGGAGTTTTTCTTCTTGATCGAGTTTCTTCTTATCAGCCTTCTCCTGGGCTATCCTTTCTTTTTCTCGACTGTCCATTTCCTTCTTATAAGCCTTATCGTCAGCCTTTCGTTGCTTCTCTTGCTCAGCAGCCTCTCTTTTTAGCAGCCTGGACCCTTCGATGTTCTGCATCAGCCTGTTTCTTTGCTTCTGTGTTAATTTTCTTCTGTTCCATTTCGTTTTCTAGGCGTTCCTTTTCACTGACGACCCGGTTGTTGTAGCGTAAAAGGTCTGAAAGGTAGCTCTGATAGATTTCTCCTTGTCGAAACTTCAGCACAGAACTATGTAGCATTTCCAATTGTCCCAAAATCCTCTCGCCTCCAATGTACATAGCTATACTACTAGGGGTTGTTATCTGATCAAGATTTTTGGCAATCGAATCTGCTTCATTTCTGGCAAAGAGGTCCTCTGCGACGTATGTAGACGACTCGACGAATAGGTTATCGAAAAACTCGCTGAAATCCTTGAGTAAGGTGTCTGATAGCGCATCAAGCATTGGAGTCATCTTTGTCTTGTTTTTAACTCGAGTTGTCTTCTTCTTCTTGTTCAGAACATACTCAACATCCTCAAGGTCCTTGGCGTTTTCACACATGGTAAGGAAGTTTTCTAGATTCATCTTGGCCATGTGTTTGCGCAATCGGTCCGCTTCTTCTGGCTCACAATTTGAGCATTTACAAGGCAAAAAGCCCTCCGATTCTTCTCGCAATCTCTCCCTTGAGACATTAGGATCGTCGGCAGACCTAGGAATATATCCAAGTCTAGTTTATGTATGTATGTCAGTAAATGGAAAGCCACAGGAAATCGAACAAGAACTTACAAGTTGTCAAGTGAAAAACAAATCCTGAGACAGACTGGGGTGATTGCCAAAGAATCCATCCTCAAGTCGTCGGTTTCTTTGTCGGAGGCTGAAAAATCTTCCTGTTTGTTCTTCCCACCCTTCCGTTTCTTTTCCATGAAAAGCACAGCTAGTCCAGGTTTACCGTCACGTCCGCACCGACCGATCATCTGGCAGATGTTAGACGGATCCGCTCGCCCAAGATGAATAACCCGTCTGACTCGGCTCCAATTCTGGCCCAACCCCAAAGCCATCGTACAGGATATGGATGGGAATTCAGCTGCCTCAAAGCCACTGATGGTGTCAACCTTTTCAAGATTTCCTGTTACTGCATGGTAGCGACGGATGAGAGTACTACGTGGATTCTTTTCCCCACCAATTGTGCCTCGGGCCTCGTTCACTACCTTCAAAATCTGGCCCGTAGCGTTTCGTGTACCAGAATAAATTAGAGTTGGAGGAAGATCACAATCAGGGATCTCATCTTTTGGTCCAAAAAGTTGGAGGAGGTCGTAGGCCTTCTTCAATGGATACTCCATCGGGAATCGTAAGATACGAATTTCGGGCCTTGTGAGCTCTGCATGGATGATCGTGACGTTATCCGAGTCAAGTTTGAGGTTCTCAAAGATTGCTTTCCTTGCCTCCGGACGGCAAGTTGCCGATAAGAATAAGATTGGTACACCCTCGTTTGCCATCAACTGAGCCGCCATGTTTCCGTAAGACGGTCGGAAAGCCGCAACGTCATGGGTCCGTAGGTGAGCTGATGACTTCTTTGCCTCCCCACTTGCAACCAAACCCCAGCTGTAGACGATGTGGGCTTCGTCGATGACGATCAAGGCCAACCGAGCCTGGAATTCCCGCTTATAGTAGAGTGATACAAACAGGTCGTTATCCACAAAGGTCTCAGGGCTCAAGTACACAAACTTGTAAACTCCGGCTAAAATTTCATCGGAAAGCGACTGGTTGAACGTCATCTTAGCCAAGTTGATTGCCGTGTAACCTTGCGCAATCTTTTCTGAAACTTGATTATCTCCTAACGCATCGAGTGGATTCAAGACTAGGACGACTCCGTCCTGGGCAGTAAACAAGTTGAGATACATCTCAGCGATGCGCGTTTTTCCAAAGCCGGTTCCAGCCATGACAAATGTGTGCTGAAGTTGAACCAGGCTCATCACAGCATCGAGTTGTTGCTCTTTAGGGATCTGACCCTTGTAAGAATTCTCGGCATCTTTCTTGATCTTCTCTCTCAAGTTTGTTTTGTTCATCTCAAGCAGTAATTTTGATAACGTTATACGCTCGATGCGAATGCGACGAGCTTTCTTCTTCTTGTTTGGTTGTCTTGACGGCATCTTTGTCCACAGTCCGATTCACCGAGATTGATCGAGCTCTTCTAGTTCTCGTTGATTGTACTCAGCGCAGACTTCAATTTTTCAAGTGTACTTATCTCTCTCTATAACAAATCTCTCTCTGTCGATCCCTTCGGGACGTTGAAATTTTTAATTAACAGTCGGACAAAAGGGGGCATGGCTTTGCCTTAACTCGAGGCCCGGATTTAATCAATTTAATACTAGAAAAAAATTTGATTGCTTTTTTTGGAAACACAAAACAAACCCCCCGGATATGGGATGGAGATGGATATGAGGAGGTGGGAGGCATCTTAAGAAGCTAGCCCATCTTCCTCCCTCCTCCATTTTCACCCCAGTCGATACATAATTGACTAACAGAACATGCATGGACATGTCGTGAGAAGCCAATACTATAGTCCTTTGTCGCATCTCGATCCATCTCGCCCTATCGCGGCCGGTCTCCCTGTTCTCCCCCAAATCCATCCAGTCAGCTCCGACCAAGCCATAAAGCTGCGCCAGCTCGCAGCAAACACGCAGCAGCTTACTGATCCAAAAAGACTTTCCCGTACAACACCATCAGCTCATCCAAGAGTTTTCATCATCACCTCAATAT